TTGGGCCGCAACGGCCGGACACCTCCTACTGGACGGGCAAATACTTCATTCCCATCACATGTTTTCTGTTATTCAACGTAAGCGATCTGATGGGTCGGTTCGCCGGTCAGTTCGCGCCCATACCGGCACTCAATAAACGGGCCGTACTTTTGCTGGCTATGGGACGAGTGGTATTCATACCGGCGATAATGCTGTGCAACGCCGGCCCCCGACAGCACCTGCCGGTCCTGTTTCCCAACGAAACCTATTTTATTTTATTTATAACACTATTGGGTTTCACGAATGGTTACGTATTGATAAACGTAATGATAAACGGACCGACACTAGTCGGCTACCAGTGCCGGGAAAGGGCCGGCTTTTTACTCGTTTGCTTTCTGGGCGTCGGCCTAACGCTCGGCTCGTTTTCGTCGACGGTTTTAGTCCGACTTTTATAGGATTTATTATTCATTTATTTAACGATATTTTTTGTTTTAATTTTTTCTGTGGTTTTTATACAAGTTTTTTGTTGTTGTGTTCATTAAACCCACTGAAAGATCGGTGTTTTTTACCCCAAAATCCCGTTAATAGAGTTGTTATCGATAATTGTGTTCACAAACAAAATACCAAAAAAATTATACAAAAATAATATTTGGTTTTAATATATTTATAATTTTTCTATTTTCGTTTCATTAAACGGCATTTTTTTGTTCATTTTGGTTAGATAATGAGGGAAAGCATAGTTAGTAAACGAAATTAGGTATCAAAAAACAATTGAAAAAAGTACACAACTCTAACCCTAGTTTTTATAAACCTGTGTTTATGGTACATAATTTCATTTACTAGATAAAAAATCTAATAATTTTCTTCATTTTTTGCTTCATATTATATCATAAATTATGAAATTATGTTTTTTCTGATAACCATTTCATTATTAAAATATATATTTATAAATATAATTAAACACAAACAGCGAAAACTCGTTATTATTATATATTTACGATAATTATTATCGCATTTAATTTAAAATGTATTTTTCGTGTATTTGTTATAAATATTGGTTTAAATATTTTGATTATTTTGTTGGAAGAAAATAAATATTTCCAATCATTTGTCGCTCTATTATGTATTGAAAATACAAATTATATCTCAATTTGGATATAAAATTAAGTTTTATGTTTAACACCAATAAATATACACACAGTATATGTTGAATGCCATTAAACAATATTATATAATAATCTCTTTATTATGATTGTTATCATCAGAAATGATCTCAAAATTATGCCCAAAAAAATAAAGTAATAATTTTGTGCAAAATCTGCTAAATTCTGGTGTTTTCTATCATTTAAATACTACTGGGGTTTAAATAATTGCTTTCATATTTATATGGTTTATAACAACCAAATAAGTAATAGCTTTTTGATAAGGCATTGATTTTGAGGACCAGAGATCGGCCACTCCTCGCAAATTTAAATGTGGTAATAGTGTTGAGAGAGAGAGAGAGAGAGCTCTAATGCCTTAAAGAAAATGAAATGAAATTATTTGGTGAATAAAAGATGGGAATAAAAGTCACGACTTTTACATTAAAGTGCCGGTAATGAGAGGGGGTTTCAGTACTACTACTGTATATTACATAACACATACCTGTGCTCTCTCTCTCTCTCTCTCTCTCTCTCATAGCTAAAATCAGCTCTCATCATAAAAGCTAAATGACTATATTTCAATAAATATGATTGCATTTAATGACAAACTACAAATAATTAAAGTAAATGTTGCCCAAAATGAGTGTAATAAATACTGGCATTAAAAACAACTGCTGACCGCCGATCACTTGCCATAAGACTTTTTACTATCACTTTCGCAACTCATATCAGTATTGTTTGGCTTAACTTAGTATACAATGTCCAATAAAATCTCATTAAATTATAATTTATAACTTTATAACTACCTAATTAAGCTTAAAATATAAAACATTAATTTATAATTAAAAGTTATGTTTACACAGTTTATTAAGTTTATACTTACATACTGTAAGTTGTATTTCAATCCTATTATTTAACAAAACGCTCGAGAAATTTACTTTATTTACATTTAAATCAATACATGATTTAGAATTGATTAGAAAAATATCACTCATTTTATAATGAGATTTAGTTTTTTGTTGTTTTTCTCTTACAATGACATTACGTTTGCATTTATTATAAGTTTATTTGAAAAAATAAAAACTAATAAAATGTTTGCAATTATTTTACTGTTAATAATAGCCGTTTCAGAGACGATATCTCAAGACATTTGCCAATTCTTTCAGTCAGACGGCAGACACAATGGTCTAAAGATATACCGTCATCGGGAGCTCAGCGGTGATAGTTATCCACAATCGACACTATTTAAGGGCATTATATATGGAAATGGATTGAAATGGGAGTTCACTATTGAGAGGCAACTCATCGGCAATATGTCTATCCGTGTGATCGACACGACTGGCCGACCATTCAATCAGACAATTGTTAACAGATTTATTATTTTTGGCGACTTTTACAATAGAGACCAAAAGTGGGAAAACTATATCGCATTTCACGACATGATATATGAGGTAATGAGTGAAGCAAATTGTTGTCTCACATAAAGTTAACAAATGATTACATGTTTAGGACCCGAAGGACAGGTCAGCACTTCATATATGGCTACCAAACGGCACAGAACTTTGGTTACATAACAGGGATATTGAATACAACGCGACGGACATAATGTTTAGATCGACAGCTATTTATACCAATGATTATGTAATGATTTTGGACAGACATACGGGTGTTGTGCTCACGTATAACATTAGACCCGATGTGATTGACAACACATCTCTGGCCATACATTACAATCGGGTGGACAACGAAACGGCTGATCTGGAGTACAATACTCTGGCCATAAAACCCCTGTTCCTGGAAATGATTTCCGACTTTTTGAGACAACAATTGGAGGCTATTATCGACTACGAGATCGTCGACGAAGAGCCGGGATATATGTTGTGGTTTAGTATCGATGGAGAGCTCCGGTATTGTTTCACACCCGGCGACGGACCCCTCTCTCAACAGGTATTTATAATTGTATTTATTTTATGGTTAATGTGTTTGTAATCTCTGTTTGTATTTATAGTGTAATTCAACGCAAACTTTAATACCATTTGAGATGAATTGTTTAAAACCTAAAACTGTTTTCATTACAATTGCAATGATTTTATCGTTTTCTCTATTTGTGATAATTTTGTTTCGAAAACTTTTTAAACTAATTTATCGCAGACTTTAACAAATAATTTATTTTCCCTTCACTTATATTGTTGTTATTTATAAGAAATAAATTTATAACAAACTAACCGTAATTTAATAGTGTTTTGTGTGCTATTATTACACATTTAGCACACAAACGCCCGTTTTATTAATTATTACATTTAGATTTTAATAAAATTGAATTCACAAAAAACGTCTACAAAAATACAATAAATTAATTTTATAATTTAAATTAAGTTTCTTTGATTAGAGGTTTGGATGCACTCCTATCGACAGTATTGATGGTCTTTTCATCAGTGCTATAATCGATGAATTTGGTTGTTATTCCTCGACTTCTTTTGCAAATCATTTTTACAATAAATATTACAAAAATTACTCCAATTATTATTAATAATACTATGAATACAATGAGTAAAGCGATCAGGAAGTCAGACGACATTACTTTTGTTTCAATACTTTTAAAACAATGCTTTTCAAAGTAATTCAGTCTTTCAGCCGATGAGCACTTTAGCGGACAAAAGCAAACATTAATAAAACACTTTGTATTTATTTATTTGATGAAAAAATACCTCATATGAAAGCGATTGGTTTTCTGGTGTGAAACAATAGCGGGGCTGACCCGAGATGTTAAACCATAACAGATGGCCACTTGAATTGGTGCCACGAATGTCGGTAATTGCTTCCAATTGTTGCAACAATTTATAAGGTATTTGATCCACAAATACTGGTTTGTGGCACTTATCGCCCGCAACCAGACAATCGCATTCTTTCATTATATTAATCGTACCATTAATGCCATCCCATGTAATGTTGAGCACCCGTAGCAATCGGTTGTGTGTATTCAATACAATGGCATAAGTATTCGTATCAAATGTAGTGTTTGTGGACATAACAGTTGGACTAAATATAACGGCATTTGCATTAAACTCATTATATGAATGAAACGTTTCATTTGTGGATGAGATATAACAAGTGGTCAAAACTGTGGTCCTATTCTGTATTTAGATTTTTAGTTAATTTGTGTATATTTACATACAAATGTATAAAATAATTACCTTTTTGAGTACTCGGCAGTTATATGCATCATATAAAGTGGCATTTAGTTTTGAAAGTCCTGAAATCAGATTTGTTGCCCGATCCGTTTTAAGCCAGTATTTTTCTGGATTCATTGTAATCTCTGGTTCAGTGTGTATATCAAATGTCCAAATATTATTTGCTGACATTATTAGATAAACTGATTCAATGGTGCCATTTAATTTGAACCAAAATCTATGTAATTGAATGCCATTATATGTGCCATTAGTTTGAATTAAATCACAAATGGTTTCGTCGCATTCAATACAACCCAAACACACAATTATATACAATACTTTGAACATTGCGATTGGCTTTTCACTAAAATTAAGTTTTAATATTTTCCTAAATTTGGTAAACGTTTGAAATATTTTCAATGTTAATTTGTATTTTATAGTTATTTAAAACATTCAAACAATTTTCCTAAACTTCTCGATCGCAATAATAATTATAAATTACGGTAATAATAATTTGTGTTTAGTTTTATTGTTATTGTTTTTATTATTTGTTTGTATTTGTAATGTAATTCAACGCAGAGTTTTAACGCCATTTGAAATAAATTGTTAAAAACCAAAAACTGTTTTCATTACGATTGCAATGATTTTCTCGTTATCTCTAACTTTGGTTTAAAGAGTATTTCAACAAATTTATTGCAAACAGTTTTATTAAAATTCAATTTATAATACACTAACAGATATACAACAGTTCTATTGAGTAAATGATTAAAATATACTTCAAATTTACATTGTTATAAGATTTAGGCAAAGATTGAAATAATTTAATATGAATTACAATTAAGTCTTCGACCGATTGGTATTCACTGTCTATTTGTTTGAATCCAACACTGATATCTTGGATGCACTCCTGTCAACAGTATTGATGGTCTGTTCATCAGTGCTATAATCAACTGCTATGGTATCCATTCCTCGACATCTGTTGTAAATCATGACCACAACTGACAGTAAGAGAATCGCTCCCAATATTGATAATATAATGAATGCCATCAACGAAACAATCGGAAAATCTTTAAATTTTAATTTAAATTTTGGTATACTTTTGAAACAATGCTTTTCATAGTATAGCATATTTTGATCCGATGAACACTATATAAAGTACATAATTATTATTATAATACTGTAAAACAACACTACATATTAAATGAGGTTACATTTAAGTAATGACAAAATACCTGCTCAGAGAGATTCTGATCCCAAAATGTGAAACAATACCGGGGCTGACCATTAATGTTAAACCATAGCATATGACCCCGATTTGTGTTCACATCAAAATCAACAATACCCTCTAAATGTGGCCACAATTTGTTGGGTATTTGTTTGACAAAACTCGGAGGCGAACACCTATTAGTTATATTGCATTGACTTTCATTCAATACATCAAAACCGATAAAACTGTCGTTAACTATAATCCTTAACGCCTGTACCGATCGGTTATGTCTGTCCAATGCTATGGCATAGCTATCATTATTGTTGGTATACTTTTCTAAAGTAACCATTGGACTAAAAACAATGCCCTTTGAGTTAAATTGTTTTTTAAATATTCGGGTAAAATTGATTTCATTGTGTTTGAAAAACCAACATTTGGTTATAGTCTTAATTAGTCCACTTGGTATCTTATGAAGTGAAGCGCAATTAAATGAATATTTATTAATTTTATTAAAAATGGTCATTATTATAACGATAATATACAATGTATATTATACAGTATAATTACCATATTATTAATTAGTTGGCAGTAATAATTGCATAATGGATGTTTCGGATGCTTTACTAGGCCTGAAACACGATTGTCCGGCTCCGGGCCACTCATTGTGTGATTGTAAAACTTCTTTTCAATAGTGTTCACATAAAGCGTCCCATTGTTATCGCTCTCTATAGTGAACTCCCATTGAATACCGTTTGAGTACATGTTATGTTTAGAAACGACAATCGCCTTCTTTTTTCCGTACCATATTCTATGGGTTTGAATGCCATTATAAACACCATTGGTTTGTATGTAATCACAAATGGTTTGATTGCATTCAATACAACAAATACATGCAATTATAATCAAAACTGTAAACATTGCACAAATGGTTAGTCTCTCAATGGTTTTGCTTGAATTTAGTAGTTTTGCTTAATTTACAAATCAATAATCTCTTAGAAATACGTTTAAAATATTTTGAATGTAATATTGAGTTAAAAATAAATTCAAACATTAAATCAATTTATATCTAAACCTCTCGATTATAATAATAGTTTGTAATAAAATAAAAATGAAATATAATTCAATACAAACGTAATAATATATTAATTGTTAATTTTAACTTTATAAAATTCACAAATCATTACAATGTAAAAACAATGTTATATGATTTATTTATAACTTGCAACATTAATGTGATTCAAACGAACTATCTTATTTTTAACAAATACATTATTATTACGATTATTATAAACATGTTTATGCGCAAAAAACATCTTGATCCTGTTCACTATACATGTGCACAACTTGGTCAACATGATGACTGAAAAGCCGAACCAGAAGCTAACTAAGCCGGCTATGAAAGAGACAAACTCTTCAAAAATAATCTTGGGCGAATTAGTGTAAACTAGGGCTGGACTTTGTGGCGGGTACACCGCAACACCAAAAACACCTAGCTCGTTATTAAACGTCCCACTCCTAGCCGTATAGTATTCGGTATAACACGGATTACGAAGCCTTCGGCACCGTTTCCTACACTTATTGCCAATAACTATATCTAAAGTGGTGTTTGTGGCCAACAACTCAAACGGCTCGACTATACGTTTGTGCCGGTACTCCACCAACCGGTCGGTCAAGTAGTTGCCGGGCCAGTGACCAAACGCACCCTCCATTAGTCCAGCCCTACACCGGACCACACAATCGTAACGTGTTTTATAACCCTCAGCCGATGGGTAGGGCTGGCAATTGGTTTTGTACGGCGCCGGCAGCAAATGAACAGACGTTTTCTGGTAGTTCACGTAGGGGTAGAGCGTATTGTATTTTATCTGGGTGCTTTTTACTTTAAAAAAGTTATTCACACGTTCATAACTTGGGTGAAAGATCAAATCAACATGCTTGATTACTGGATTAAATATTATGTAAATTAATTCTGTGAAATAATCCCGGTATAGGAACTCGTTATCAACGACATACCGGCGCCCGTCGCCCGACTGGTCATTGGTTTGCGATAACAGTGTATAACACACACGATAGTAGTCCATAGATTTTATAATAGGGTATATTTGGCTACAGTTGACCGTGGTTGTTGTTGTATCACCTTGGTGGGTTTTAAAATTTACCGGTTTTAATACATCGCAACTGATAAACACTTCGGCCGCTGTGAGGGTAGCCCTGAATTGTTCGCCGATTGTCATTAAATTAATGTATTCATTCAAAGTGGTCGTAGTGTTTGTGACATTAGGCCTGTATTGATCACGTAGTAAATACTTTTTGTCCACACAGATAGTGAGCGCCGGCAGCGATAGCCGACTTTGGGTCTCGTATTTGACAACAGTTGTGGTCTGATATGAGAAATAGGTGTCGCATATGATGTATACCTGATAGACACATACCATAAGACATGAGGCGTAAAACAATACGGTGACAAGTTTTTGTTTTATAAAAGCAATCATGTTTGTATGTTTACACCATGTTAGGTTTGTGCACATTTTTAAATTTTATATAAAGTAAATTTTTGCTAAATTTAATTTTATTAATGTTATTATTATGAAATAGTTGTTTATATAAAATGTTTGTAAAAAATATTTTTAATATTCATTAATATAATGTAGGCTTACTGTATTAAAAACGATCACTTTCAATGATATATCATGATCATAACAAATAGTTATCATATTAAAAGCCTTTGTTAAAAAATGGCAAATAAAAAATAAAAATGTCATGATAATAAATCATGAAATAAACGTTAATGTCAAGTCAAGCAAAATCAATATTTCTCCTATATAACTTATTGTGTTAATATGAATAAATATTTTAGTATATTAGATTAGTTTGTTTTAATAATATTTAAATCAGTACTAATATGTAAATGATATAAATAAAATAGTTCATATTTTTATTCACATGTTAAAATTAACATTTATTATTGCATTTTTATAATGAAACAAAAATAAAATTTGTTTTTTGGTTATATAAATAATAGAAAATATTAATATTTATTTCCATTTATATAGTATTGTGTAATGAAATGTTTTATAAATAAAAATAAAATTAGCTGATTTATTCCAAATCTATAAATATAAGGCCATTATTTTACTCAATACAAACCACAAAATCTTAAATATTTAAATTAAAAAAATTATTTTTATGGAAATTTATTTCATCATTACATTAGACAATATATAGTTATAAAAATAAATATTTATTTAAACAATTAATTGAAATAAAAAATAAAATATGGAGTAAACAACAAAAATAGTCACCAATTTATTAGCCAAATTTTGACCAATTTCTGCAATATCTGGTAAACCAACGAGTTTTAAATGCAATACTTTTATAGGAAATGAATGTTTAAATAGGCATTAAAATAATGCAAAACTATAATTATATTATGTAAAACTGTTAATTAACTATTAATTTACCACAGTAAAATTTTATTACATAAATTATTGCATAATTTCCTATAGTAATACTGAGTGAAAATTAATTTATTGTTTATTAAAAGTACAATTAATAGACAATAAGTTATATAATGATAAACATACTGTAC